TTTGTGTTTAAAAGTCCAAAAAGTATGCATTTCTTAGTTTTGACCAGAAATTACACAAAACGGAACTTTATAAAAAAAAATTTAAAAAAAAGTTCTCTAAATCCTCTTATTTCATGACAAACCTGCGGGAAAAGAAAAAGAAAAAAAACATTACAAAGACTTTCATCAAAATTTATTAGATTTTTACCAAAAATGACACGAAAATTTCATATTTTCACAGAAACTAGACTATTAAATAGAGTACTTCAAAAAACAGAAGGCAACCTTTATTTGGTCCAACTTTATTTGGTTAGCACTCACCAAATAATATAATACAATAAAAGTCACACACATTCATCCACACACTTAAATAAAGTTAAACACATTCATGCCAATAACAAAATAGACAAACACCTTATGTAAAGTATGTTGTTACTCTGTTGCTATAGGTAGAGTTTATAATGCATTTGTACCATTTATCGCTTATTATTTACTGGTTATATGACTGGTGCAGAACTTAACTTTGTCTTTAGTGTTATGGTTATTGTTGATCAGTCATCAGATATGGAGAACAATCTAAGATCTTCTTCACCTGTTTGACATTCAGGCTCTCAGAGCACATAGGACACACTGATTCTGTCTCCAGCAGCCTGAAATAAAACATATTTAGACTTTAGGGTCTAAAGTCATTTGGAAAAAGTTTTGACTTATATAATTAATATAATTGAAAAATATCATTATGCAAGTTGATGCTATAACAGTTCACAGCTTTTTTTTTTAATCACATCTGCTATAATCTGATTGAATCTGTGATTTTAAACCAATACTAGCTAATGATGATACATCTTGTGTGTGTGTGTGTGTGTGTTACTCACAGTGTGAACTGTGAGTAGAGAGCAGGAAATTCACAGTGAGGACAAACAGACCAGTCTTCTTTCAGCATATGACGACCCTGAGGGAATGACAAGGGAACAGAAAATAAGGTAAAGTGATGATAAAAAAATATTAATTAAAAATTAAATGATAGAGCATTGTTGGGTGTTGTACCGTTGCAATGCAGTAGGGCAAGTTATTTTTACAGGAACTACACAAAAGTTCGTTCTGTGGCAGCTGGCAGCCACAGAAAGGACAGGGGGTTGTTTCCTCCTCCAGCTCTGAAGTGTCTGGGCGTCTGTGGAAGGAGCACAGGATGTTTTATCAGCATTTAAAAGATGCACACAAACTATAGACAAAAGTAGAAAGTCATTAGGATGTGGACACTCTTCTCTCACCGAACCATAGCCTCAATCTTCTTCCTGTACTTTGGGTCAATGTCATTACGGTATTCTGGTCTCATCAGCATTGCTGCAAAACTGAAGGCAGAATTCTTCAGTCCAGCTCGGTGACATTCAATGACAGCAGACGTCAGGATGGGAACAACGTCTGCAAAGACATCAAAAACAGGTGGGACTTAAAAACAATTATTAACTGGCTATTCTGTTAAAGGATCAGTACCAGCAGTTTCAGTTGCATTCTGTAAAAACCCAGATTAGGAACCTCTGATTGGAAGATAATCCTGAGAACTAATCTTTAATTTTAGCTGTCTAAAAACTACATTTTAGCACAAGAACCTTTTAGCACAAGTGTTAACACAGCACAACCCTAACCCTGCAAAAGTCTAATCTTTCAAAGTGTTAACACAGCACAACCCTAACCCTCAGCTATATGTCATTTTCAACCCAAATCAAAAATATTGGTCTCATTTGGTTTTTACTCACGTGCTGGAAACTTGCTGATGTTGTTGCTGACACGAATGAGCATGCGTGCTCCTTTCAGGTGGTCTCCCCTTTTCACATGGATCTAAACAGTCACAAAAACACTGATCAGGGTCTTTGGCCAGCCTCTATTGGCTATATAGATATCATTCAGTTGGAGTCAGAAATAGGGATACAGGGGGTCAATGCAGATTAAACTGGGTGACACAAAATACTAGGTCTTGGACTTGACCAGAAGACGGTTACTTCTCTTCTGACGTGGGTCATCGTTGTTATTTGCACCATTTATAGCACAGACTATCAGCCTATCCTTGAAGTGGACTCTGTTGGACCATCCATAACTGAGGACTTCAATATCCAAGACGACATCACCCAGAGGCACATGACTGTGAACAACTGTCAGGTATTGGACTTCTGCTCTAATCCCAGTCTGTCAGTCAGTACATTTGTGCACTGTACAGCATGGACACATGTATTGTCTGTTAAAACTAATTTTACCTAAACGTTCTATTACTTTTACACTTTTTAAAATAACAGCTAATATGTGGCGTTCCCACAGTATTTGACCTCTGACCTTGACCAGCAGGTAGGAGTGTAGGATCATTAGGTTGGTGACCATTTCTGCAGGGATCTTTATCTTCTGAGCCTGCAGCTCTGTATACATGCTGAACAGCACGTCATGGGCATTACGGTAGTTTCCTGTAGCAATAATGATGATAAAGAAAATCGGAAATGTAGTTAAGTCAAATGTTTTTCTTAATGTTGTCTGTATTTGTGTATTTAGTTTATCAGTGATTTTGTGAATGCGTTTGTACCAGCACACTGCTCCTCCCTGGCGATGATGATGGCCGTACGGGCTGCCTCCCTGTACTGCTGCAGAGCCATATAGAGACGGAAGAGGTATTTGGCATCCTGTCAAAGACCAAAGAAATAAAAGGAGACTGTAATAAGGACAGGACTTTTACCTCCAAATACAGAAATTTTACTATTTATCTTGTCATGTTTTAAGTCATGGGAAACATTTCCTCATTTTTGTGGATATTCTCAGGTCATCATAATAATCTCAAAAGCAGTTTTAAAGTAGGCAACTGGACTTGCCCCAGAGGACAGGGAGGGGGAATGATTCACCATAGGGCAAACGACTCACATGACCATTTAACGGTCAATGGTATTGTTCGGGCCCATGGCCACTTTACTGGACACCACACCCCCTTTGGGGCAGATAAAAACCTGGAAACTCCTCACCAGGACAATAAAACTGTCCTCATCTTGGATGAGAGGCAAAATGTCTTCAACTTACTTGATGTAAGTCCAGTTGCCTACTTTAAAACCACTTTTGAAATTTCCTCATTTTGTTGAGAATGATCCTTCTAACACAGGCATAGGCAAACTATGGCCTGGGGGCCAGGTGTGGCCCGTTTGGCTTTTTAGTCTGGCCCGCCAAACTTGTCCAAATTATGTTATTAATTTCTATTATCATTATACTTCTGCCGTTAAAAAAACTTGCTTAAAGCATTTTAGCATATTAGCCTTCATGACTTTTACACATCATTTATTTTAATTCATATGAATGCTCTTTCTATCTGCTCTTGACCTGGCCCCTTGTCAAATTTTAGAACCCATTGTGGCCCATGAGTCCAAACGTTTGCCCACACCTGTTCTAACCAATAAAACTGAAATCAGAACAAAGTAAAAAAAGTAAAAATGTATTTTCTTACCTTGGGCATTCCATCACTCTCACCCATTAGGTAATCTATCAGCTGATTGGTCAAAGAGCCGTCTTTGGCCTGTCCAACCTGAAAACACACACAGACTGACATTATAAACACACTGAATGACACACGACACTGAATGTTCAATTTGTACAGTCACAGTCAAAAGCACAGAGTGCTCACCGTCT